CATACTACTTGTGAAGGAGGAAATGTACATGTTTATCTCATCTCTCAGAATGTTTGGTAATATGTTTACTTGTGATGTGTGTCTATGTATGTATTAACACGTTGTACTGAACGGGGTGAGAATAGCTTGAGCTACCTCATCCCTTTGTGTGTATTTTACCTCAATAAACTTATTTCAATTTCAATTTCATATACAAGAAATAGAATTGGTCCCAGCACCGATCCTTGTGGTACTCCACTTATTACTGATGTGTGGTCAACACCTGCAGGACACACACGTCCAGCATGTGTGGTCAACACCTGCAGGACACACATGTCCAGCATGTGTAGTTAACACCTGCTAGACGAGGCTGGGGGGTCACAGCCTCGCTATAACGAGCTAAGCTTGGTTTAAAAAATGATAGATCTCAGATCATAGGGGTTAAATTGTACCACGTGGTTTAACAAACTTGTAATGAGAGAGGAGTTGTACCTGACTAGTTGGAAAAAGGTCACTTGCCAGAGATTATGGGATTAGCGTGGTTACAAGACAAAATGGCTGTCTCCCTTGCATTAATTCAACAGTGATGAATAATTCAATTACAATAATTGTGGAAATAACCAATCTGGTTTAAGGACTTAGGTTAGGTTAACATGAATTTAGAATAAAGATCAAGGCTCGTTAGCTATCAAAGAGACAGCGACGTCAGTTAGTTAGAGAAGGAACTAGCTTGCCAGGCGTAGCCTCTGACAAGCTTGTTCTGGCAAATCAAGCTGTGGCAAATCTTGTTTAGTACCTAACCTACCCTGGGTCAAGTTCACGTGGCTGACTACAGCCTCCCATATTGTTAATTCATAAATTATAAATACAGGTCACTATTCAATATTGTAACTGGAAATAGCCTGCTCCAAGATACCTGTAGAATTACCATCAGTTTCAGTAGGAATGCAACCATCCGGGTTGGCCAGTAAATAAGATTAGCTTGCTCAATTTAACCTTGGTTGGTAATTTTAATAGCCAGAGCTGACGGAGTAATATTTGCTAGCCTCAGTGTGGAACACAGGGCAGGCCGAGCAGTGTGGTTTGAGCAAGAACTGGGAGAAGACATCACCTCCCAAAGACCAGGCGAACACCCGGCTGGACTTAGAAGATTACGGTAAAGTGCTGCAGAGTTGGTACAGTTGATAATCATTTCCCTCTTAGGAATATTTCAGTTAGGGAGTGTAAAAAGACAGGGAGTGTTTCTTTTTGTTTCCATTTTATTATAGTCTTGAATAATAAAACTTGTTTACTATTTATGGTGTTTTTGAGTTTGCCCATAATATACATGATTGTCCTTGCCGCGGAACCTAAGAACTGGGTTTTGTTGAATGAGTCAGTACCTATATTGCAAGCAAGCCTAGTCTATCTTTAGATCGGATATATTCCCTTGTTTTCGATTTAATTTTCACACTTAACGTAACGTCATACCTCCCTTTTCAATTAATTGGGGATTAACCACCTCCAAGGAATTAATGGTTAATTAATTGATCCAAACCACGATTAATTAATCGTCACGATCATGTAGGTTTGGTGGTGGCAGCAAGAGAAGATCCCTGAGTTTTCCTTGGGAGGTACAGTCCAGCTCTCGTGTGTGTAGTATGTGGTTGATACCTGGTTGATGGGGTTCTGGGAGTTCTTCTACTCCCCAAGCCCGGCCCGAGGCCAGGCTCGACTTGTGAGAGTTTGGTCCACCAGGCTGTTGCTTGGAGCGGCCCGCAGGGCCACATACCCACCACAACCCGGCTGATCCGGAACTTCTCTTAGAAAACCGTCCAGTTTTCTCTTGAAGATGTCCATGGTTGTTCCGACAATATTTCTTATAGTCGCTGGGAGGACGTTGAACAACCGCGGACCTCTGATGTTTATACAGTGTTCTCTGATTGTGCCTATGGCACCTCTGCTCTTCACTGGTTCAATCTTGCATTTTCTTCCATATCGTTCACTCCAGTACGTTGTTATTTTACTGTGTAGATTTGGGACCTGACCCTCCGGTATTTTCCATGTGTATATTATTTGGTATCTCTCTCGTCTCCTTTCTAGAGAGTACATTTGGAGAGCTTTGAGACGATCCCAATAATTTAGGTGCTTTATCTCGTCTATGCGTGCCGTATATGTTCTCTGTATTCCCTCTATATCAGCAATCTCTCCTGCTCTGAAGGAGGAAGTGAGTACTGAGCAGTACTCGAGACGGGACAACACAAGTGACTTGAAGAGTACAACCATTGTGATGGGATCCCTGGATTTGAACGTTCTCGTAATCCATCCTATCATTTTCCTGGCTGACGCGATATTTGCTTGGTTATGCTCCCTAAACGTTAGATCGTCGGACATCATTATTCCCAAATCCTTGACATGCTGTTTTTCTACTATGGGAAGATTCGATTGTGTTTTGTACCCTGTATTATGTTTCAGATCCCCATTTTTGCCGTACCTGAGTACCTGAAATTTATCACTGTTAAATATCATGTTATTTTCTGCTGCCCAATCGAAAACTTTGTTGACATCTGCTTGTAGTTTTTCAATGTCTTCAGCAGAGGTAATTTTCATGCTGATTTTTGTGTCATATGCAAAGGACGACACGAAGCTGTGACGTGTATTTTTGTCTATATCTGATATGAGAATAAGGAACAGTAGCGGTGCAAGGACTGTACGTTGAGGTACAGAGCTTTTAACATCGCTTGGACTCGATTTTATCTAATTGACTGTTACTCTTTGTGTTCTGTTCGACAGGAAATTGAGTATCCAGCGTCCTACTTTTCCAGTTATTCCCATTGACCTCATTTTGTGAGCTATCACCCCGTGGTCACATTTGTCGAACGCCTTTGCAAAGTCTGTGTATACAACATCTGCGTTTTGCTTTTCTTCTAGGGCTTCTGTGATTGTGTCATAGTGGTTCAGTAACTGTAACAGACAGAATCTTCCCGCTTTAAATCCATATTGTCCTGGATTGTGCAATTCACTGTTTTCCATAAAACTAGAAATTTGATTCGTAATCACTCTTTCAAACACTTTTATTATGTGTGATATTAGTGCAACTGGCCTATAATTTTTTGCCAAGGCTTTACTCCCCCCCCCCCCCTTGTGCAACGGAGCTATATCTGCAGATTTAAGTGCTGCTGGTATCTCCCCTGTATCCAGGCTCTTTCTCCATATTACGCTGAGTGCTCTCGCTACTGGTACTTTACATTTCTTTATGAATATTGAATTCCATGAGTCAGGCCCAGGAGCTGAGTGCATAGGCATATTGTCAATTTCTCTATCTAAGGCGGTCAATCGCCTAAGATCACGAGGAGTGTGCTGAGGGTAGAGCTCTGGGATCTTTGAGATAAGTTAACTAAGGGCAGGGTAGTGAACGAAGTGGAGACATTACCCCGTCCCCCGTTACATCGCCAGGCTGGGGGGGGGGGGCTCACAGCCCCGCCAGGCTGGGGGGGGGGGGGGGGGTCACAGCCCCGCCAGGCTGGGGGGGGGTCACAGCCCCGCCAGGCTGGGGGGGGGGGGGTCACAGCCCCGCCAGGCTTGGGGGGGGGGTCACAGCCCCGCCAGGCTTGGGGGGGGGGGGGGTCACGGCCCCGAAAGTATACCCAACATTAACCAATTTCACCTTCGTATGCGAGTGTATCTTCTTTGACAAGTCATCAGCGTGCAAGGGACTTGTGTGTGTCTCTGTCTGCCTCTATCCCTTTCTGTTCCCTTATCCACCACTATTCCTTCTGCCTGTTTTCTTCTCTCCCTCTATCCATTCTCTCCCTTCCTTTAGTCCCTATCTTCTCTCATTATTCCCTCTCCTCGTTCCTCTGCCGCTCACTTTCCTGTTCCTTCAACCACTCTCCTTCCCTATCACACACCTCTCCCACACTTACACTACTATCATTCCCCCTTCCCACAACAGGTGATGGTGAGTGGGGAATGTATTAAAGGCACCGCCTGGTGAGTGCACGGGCTGGCGAGACCAGGATAAGTGTGGAGATTTTAACACATTAACCGACGGAGTTTCAACAACTTGTGCATTGAACACATGTGAGGATAAACGTACACATGAACGGAACGGGCGGCGAGCGCTCCAACCAGCGGCGGGAAGCGGCCACGTTACACAAGAACAGGCACAACATGTGTAGGATAAACTCGTACTCGATCGATGACCTTGACGGAACGGGCGGCCTCCGAGCAGATCAACCAAGCTGGACCAACGAGTCACAGCCTGGTTGATCAGGTATCCTTTGGAGGTGCTTATCCAGGCGGGAAGCGGCAGTTATGCCCCGTTACACAAGAACAGGCACAACATGCCCAGTCAGACAATAAAAAATAATTGCAACAAAGTACCGAACTGAACTCTACAGACACCAACTAAACTCACCAACTTGTACAGCGACATAGACGCAGACTCGATCGATGCCCATGGCTAAAATGGAAGCCGAAATTATGTATTTAACTACGAAGCGAACCAGGATCCATTTATGAAAATATAACAGAGTACTGCTGTTGAGAGAACCTCACAAACCCTGCCCCGCTCATCACCTTGCGCCACCTGAAATTAAAAAATCTGGTGGTAACGTTAATTCCAGGGGTCAGGACCAGGGACTGAGCGCATGGACATGTTGTCAATTTCTCTTTTAAATCCCTCGGCTTTCATGCTAATATTAATTATATTATCTGGGGGTTTCAGGTGTCATTCATAAATTAGCTGTGTAAAAGTCTTTTACTGACCAAATCCATGCAATAAATCATCTAAATTACTGGGACCGCTTAAATATTTAAAACTGTATTCTCAAGAGCTTAGACGAGAGATACACAATACTTTACACTTGGAGGATATTAGAGGGATTGGTTCCAGAGCTGCACACTAGAGTCCACATGAAGCTATAGGAGAAGAAGCCACGACTGTCATGCAGGGAGGACGAGCTCCCAGTTACCATCATGACAGAACGGTAGCTGCTCCTCCCAACATGACGGTCGACAGCAGCTCCTGCCCTCCCAACATGACGGTCGACAGCAGCTCCTGCCCTCCCAACATGACGGTCGACAGCAGCTCCTGCCCTCCCAACATGACGGTCGACAGCAGCTCCTGCCCTCCCAACATGACGGTCGACAGCAGCTCCTGCCCTCCCAACATGACGGTCGACAGCAGCTCCTGCCCTCCCAACATGACGGTCGACAGCAGCTCCTGCCCTCCCAACATGACGGTCGACAGCAGCTCCTGCCCTCCCAACATGACGGTCGACAGCAGCTCCTGCCCTCCCAACATGACGGTCGACAGCAGCTCCTGCCCTCCCAACATGACGGTCGACAGCAGCTCCTGCCCTCCCAACATGACGGTCGACAGCAGCTCCTGCCCCCCCAACATGACGGTCGACAGCAGCTCCTCTACAACATGAATAATTTTTATCCTGTCATTCGGATTTATCCCGTCTGTTCATTAGGTATCGCTAATCCCTTCTAATTAACTCCTTGCCTTCAAGGTAACAGTCTTTGAAGGGAATGGCTGTTACCACACCTCAGGGAATCAACACCGTAATGCCCCTTAATGCTAGTAGAGTGTGCCCAGAAAGGTACAAGCTATGTATTGTCAACCGTGCTCTCTTGCGCAGCTGTAGTTGGTAGCAGGTTGGTTAGTTGCTCAGTAGAATGAGGCACTTCCTCGTAAACGATGGATACGTTAATACACATGTTGACGACGTCATCAGCAGGTGAACCACCAGCTCACCCCTAATGAAGAACTCACAGATACTGTCCCCATGTGTAAAACTACTGCAATAACTGTGTTGACCAGACCACACACTAGAAAATGAAGGCACGACGACATTTCGATCCGTTCTGGACCATTCTCAGGTCGACTGTGACACAATCGACCTGAGAATGGTCCAGGACGGACCGAAACGTCGTCGTCCCTTCACTTTCTAGTGTGTGGTCTGGTCAACATATTTCAGCCACGTTATTGTGACTCATCGTCTGCATACTGCAATAACTATATATCAATGGGTCACAAGACAGAGGGAAAGAGTCCTGAAAAACATAATGAACAGATACGTGACCCCGAATCAACACTGAACAGAAGACACAGCTCATCTGTGACCTTAATATCTGCTTGAAGTTTTTCAATGTCTTCAGTACGAAAATTACCTCGGTTGAAGACATTGAAAAACTTCAAGCAGATATTAATAAAGTTTTCGACTGGGCAACAGAAAATAACATGATGTTTAACAATGATAAATTCCAGGTACTCAGGTACGGTAAAAATGAGGACCTTAAACATAATACAGGGTACAAAACACAATCAAATGTTCCCATAGTAGGAAAACAGCATGTAAAGTATTTGGGAATAATGATGTCTGACGACCTAACGTTTAGGGAGCATAACCAAGCAAATATTGCGTCAGCCAGAAAAATAATAGGATGGATTATGAGAACTTACAGAGAACATATACGGCACTCATAGACGCGATAGAGCACCTAAATTATTGGGATCGTCTCAAAGCCCTCCAAATGTACTCACTAGAAAGAAGACGAGAGAGATATCAAATAATATACACGTGGAAGATACTGGAGGGCCAAGTACCAAATCTACACAGTAAAATAACAACGTACTGGAGTGAACGATATGGAAGAAAATGCAGAATATAACCAGTGAAAAGCAGGGGTGCCATAGGCACAATCAGAGAACACAATACAAACATCAGAGGTTCACGGTTGTTCAACATCCTCCAAGCGAACATAAGAAATATTGCCAGAACAACCGCGGACATCTTCAAGAGGAAACTAGATAGTTTTCTTCAAGGAGTGCCGGACCAACTGGGCTGTGGTGGATATGTGGGCCGCTGCAAGCAACAGCCTAGTGGACCAAACTCTCGCAAGTCAAGCCTGGCCTCAGGCCGGGCTTGAGGAGTAGAAGAACTCCCAGAACCCCATCAACCAGGTATCAACCAGGTATCAACCAGGTATCAACCAGGTATCAACCAGATATCATCATATACTACAAGAGTAAGAACACCGCCAATTTCCACATGAACTTTTCCAATACCAAACCGCCTTGTAGGAATAAAATACAATTTCATCTTTACAGGTCCACTCGGCGACTGTCAGCGTCAACAACCTCTCTATATAGGCAGAACGACTACATCTCCTGCAAGACCAATGACAATGAACAAACAAGTCATAAATCACCTTTCTACACAACCAGACCATCTCGTGAAATATTCAGACCAGCAACACCTGTTTGATACCTGCTTGATGGGGTTCCTCGAGTTCTTCTACTTCCCCAGTCCGTCCCGAGGCCAGGCTTGACTTGTGGGAGCTTGGTCCAACAGGCTGTTGCGCGGAGCGGCCCGCAGGCCCACCACAGCCCGGTTGGTCCGGCACTTCAAGAAAACAATCTAGTTTTCTCTTGAAGATGTCCACGGTTGTTCCAGCGAATATAAAAAATAGAAATATTGCCGGGAGGATGTTGAACAACCGCGGACCTCTGATGTTTATATATCAGACACACAAATAACACAAATTCAGCGAAAATAGACATTAGACATAATAGATGCACTTCACACTAAGAGACCACATGTAATAATCAATACATCTGGTACATCCTACCGTCTACAAGACCAAGAGAGAACTGTCAATTTACAATCTAGAAACACAGAATGATAATGCTAGACCAGATTACCCAGGTAACCACCTCTCATCACACCCATATAGAATATATATTTCTGCGCCCCTTCTGTTATACTCCCATTACCTCTGCCTGAGGACGCTGCCAAGGTCAATCATAGTTGAATGCGTCAGATTCATTAAGAGTGTAATATGAACTTTGGAGATAACATTTTGCAATCCAAATTATTAAGAACCTTAGAAATATAGAAGATACATGTTAGAATCATTCAACGGGCTCACCATAGCCCGTGCTACGTGGAACTTTTTGTTCCAGGTAGTGAATCTTAAACAACAAAATGTTAGAATCATTGATCCAATCCATTAGGCCTTATTCAATCACTCACACACTAATATTATATATAGTTTACATTTATATACACAGTTATAAGGTAAGGTATAGTACCCGTGAGTGGAAGCAAAGAGTGGAGACTCCAACAGTCGAGTCATGACACTTGCGTCATGGGAGGTTAACCCAACTGTTGGTATATCAGTTGCCTTAGAATCTGGAGCTTGTTGAAACACGGGGATTTGTCACGACTGCATCCGGGTAAGTTGAGCAACATCTTGCACAAGTTGAAATACATTGTGTTGTCTGGCGGTGCAACACTTGCATAACGCAGTCAGAGGTTTGGCCAACAGTTGTCGCAACCTCAGCCAACTCATTTCCAAGATCTGACACGTGTCAATTTCGATGTGGTAATTGTTAACCCCAAATCCGTCACACACACGCAGCTCACCTCACTTATTGAAGACGATGATTATTTGTCTGAGGAACCGTCAATATTACGGCGTTGACAATTTCACAATTCTGTCGCATTTTTTACGTTGGAGTCGTTAGTGGTTATTGTGGTACTTTAAGTGTGAGGGGCAGATTGCATACATTATTGTGCACTACACAAACGTACCACATCCACGTGGACTGGCTCCCTGTCATCCATGTAGATGTAACAACCCTTAAACCACTTGCCTTCTTTGCTCCTGCAACACCTGTTGCGCCACTTCCTGCAACACTCACTGCACACAGAAATAACACCACATGAGACCAGAAGACATGGCAGGATGTGCAGAATACCCCCGTTGAAGAGCAGAGGTGCAACAGGTACTCTGAGAGAGAACTATCAACATCAGAGGCCCGAGAGTGTTCAACACGCTTCCACTACACATAAGGGGCATAACTGGCCGACCCCTCACAGTGTTCAAGAGAGAACTGGATAAACATCTCCAAAGGATACCCGATCAACCAGGCTGTGATTCATACGTCAGGCTGCGAGTAGCCGCGTCCAACAGCCTGGTCGAGGACCGGGCCGCGGGGACGTTGAGCCCTGAAATCATCGCAAGGTAGCCGTTTCTACTTTTGTTTCGTAAATATCATTAAGATAGTTTGATAATTTAATTCATGCATTATTTCATTAGTGAATCTATATTCTCGGAGAATAAAAGAGTGGCAGTTAATGGTTGATCTCAGTACTTCTTTATTATTTGGTAACTGAAACCGACCTCCAAACTAAGGATACCCTACAGGCCATCCAGGCTGTTCTGTAAAGGAATTGGTAGTTGCAATAAGTTGAGACCTGCGTTCACCCCTTCACACCGTCTCGACTCTCCTTCCCAGACCCCCACCGTCTTGCCCACCAACACCTGCCTAACTGTCCCTTGTTACCATTGGACTACCCCAGTCGTCTCACCCTTCCTCCCCTCAACACGAGGTTATTAAGGGCACCTTGTTTGTTCTGTTTAACAGGGGCATACCTGTGGTGTGGGTTTACCTGCTTGATATCTGCTTGATGGGGTTCTGGGAGTTCTTCTACTTCCCAAGCCCGGCCCGAGGCCAGGCTTGACTTGTGAGAGCTTGGTCCAACAGGCTGTTGCTTGGAGCGGTCAGCAGGCCCACATACCCACTTCAGCTTGGTTGGTCCGGCACTTATTGGAAGAACTTATCCAAGTGTCTCTTGAATACATCCACCTTTGTTCCAGCAATACTTCTAATGCTCGCTGGGAGGGTGTTGAACAGCTGTCGACCTCTGATGTTTATCAACATTGATTTACATTACCATTCCCTGTTTTCCAGCTCGTCACAAAACACGATGACTGTGGTTACTTTGTGATGGTTTCGGGGCTTAGCGTCCCCGTGGCCCGGTCATCGCCCAGGCTTCCCGGTTGCTGGACTGGTCAACCAGGCTGTTGGACGTATCACAGACACAAGCACTTCCTACAACAATTCACACTGTGTTCCGGTGCTCAGCTTCCGTCTCTCTCACTGCTCCCTGTCCTCGACTTGTCATAACATAATTTGTTACATACTACTTTTTACATATTACAACACATAGTTTGTTGCATACAACTTGTTACATATACACCGGGCCCATCATCCGTGTAGACAGAGACCGGGCCCAGTCATCCGTGTAGACAGAGACATGACCCATCATCCGTGTAGACAGAGACCGGGCCCATCATCCGTGTAGACAGAGACCGGACCCATCATCCGTGTAGACAGAGACCGGACCCATCATACGTGTAGACAGAGACCGGACCCATCATTCGTGTAGACAGAGACCGGACCCATCATTCGTGTAGACAGAGACCGGACAAATCATCCGTGTAGACAGAGACCGGACCCATCATCCGTATGCACTGAGATCCACCATCAAACCAGGCAGACAGCGCCCCCCCCCCCCCCACATGTCACAATGTCTAAGACATGGCCAGGCCTGTGGGAAGGGTCTTACCTCGCAGC